CGGTGCATGTGGACGAATGTAACATTAGAGGTCTACTTTAGCTGCTCTGCCACTAGTCTGAGTTTTGTACGTGAAGCCAACGTAGCAGTTCTTATGTGAATAAAAATGCGATTGTTTTAGGACCGTTTGAAATTAAGCGCTTCTTAGGGGGAGAACTTTTTTCTCTTCTGGGGTGCCTTACCTCAGTTAGATAGCAAAATTCCTGAGTTTCTTTGGTAAAGAGATATTACAATTAATTTGGAAATGGAGTGTGTACAAAGTCAATAACTATCCAACTCCACCCTCGTGCTCGTATCTGAAAAAATATATAAAAATTAGTACAAAAATGCCAATCTTACTTTGCCGTATATACGCGGCATAATTTTTCATTTCATTTCTTTTCATTATCTTTCCCTTTTTTCTTTTTTACTTTCCCCGTTAAATGTATTTCATCACTCCAAATTGCTTGTTAAATTTCGTATTTATTTCATTTCTTTCGCTCGGATGCCTCTTTATGGGAAGAATGGAGTATCAATGCTTTTGTGATTTGCCGATTATTGTCGGTTGAGCGACAAAATTACAAATAAATTAATTTAATTGCTTTACTGTGCATGTATGTGTGTACAATATATATATATATTAATATGTTTACTTATAAATGTATTTATAATCATAAGCAATTAATTGTAATTTATTATGAAATATTTCACCTACACATTTCAAGCATAAATAAATATATACACATCTACATACATACACACACTATTACAACATATTTAGCAATGATGAATGCTATTTATTTAGTTTTGTGCATTTTAGTTGCTATTTCAATAAATAGCCTACGTAATTATGCTTAAATTCTTCAAGTCAAAATGAATTTCCATGGGAGCGCATACCAAGTATTTCTCGGTACGCTATTTGCTCATATTTTCATAATTCCACAATTTGTTGCTTAGAAATGAAATTCCTATGTAAATAAAATATGCGAGTATATTTGTAATTTCATTAACGCCCCCTTGATTTGTTATATAATTAATAATATAATAAATAATAAATGTATTTTCTCTATTTTACTGACTAATAGAAGGCATAATTTTAGGCACTTTATGATTTGTATTTGTTCTCTTAATTATCACATTGTGCGCTTTAAACGTCTCCATTGTGTAAAAATAATGTAAATATTTTCAAAAAGACATTTGTTATTTTGTTATAAAAAATTAAATTTTTATTTTTTAATAATAATAATAACAAAGATATGTTTTTTATTGTACAATATAAATATTGTACATTTTATGTATATTAAATAAATTTAATTTTTTGAGGTTTTAGATCTTTAACTAAAATTTACATCGTAATTTGTGTATTGTTCGGTGAGATTAGGTTTAACTGGTTGCCTCCTTAGGGAGTTCCACATAGACGGTGCTACATAGGTGCATGGTGGCACCAGATACAGAACTCTCTATTAGTAGGTGCTGTTACACTTTCTGTCGTGTCACCCGACTGAATAACATTGCTGTTTTTTTTTTAGCAAATTAAAGCAGTCACTTTGGGACTCTAACTGCTGAAGATCTTGCAATTTATTCTTGCCAAGTAAGAACATTCTCTGTTTGCAAAACACTGGATATCAACAGTTTACGTGCTTTACATTCTGTATCCCTTCTTTGGAATTTCCTCATTTGAAGTCATGTAACGCCAACAGGCAGTACCCTACTAACAACCCTACTGGCAGCCTGAAGTCTCAGCTATTTATTTGTCGCATAATTTTCGCTATTTTCCCAGAGCCAATTAGGTTGATACTCCAAACATTGCATTTTTGTTCTATTATAAAACTGTGAAGTCCATTGCTCCTTCCTGTTTCGGCCGGGAAAATACTGAAGTGTCTGTTAGGTGGCTTGAATGATCAGTGCATGGCTCCTTCCTGTTTTGGCTGGAAAAATACTGAAGTGTCTGTTGGGTGGTTTGAATGATCAGTTTATTGCTGTTTGGACGCAATAATATGCAGTCCTCTCTCCTCTCTTCATCTCAGTAGCATATGTAAAAATACGCAGAGCTCTGGCCGCTGACTTGAATTTTTAGTCCCATCTTTCTCTCTTTCTTGTAGCTGTCAAACGTTTCACAAAAGTCAAAAGGGGAACAATTCAGTATATTCCTCTGCCACGGGTTAATGCTATACTAATGCGCCCATATACCCTGACTTTCAATTAACTTGAGTTGGTGATGTTTTATGTGCTCTGGTAATGCTGATCATTGATATTCTGAATGCTCTTTCCAGTCTTTCCAGTCATTTTATGTCTCTTTAGCCTTCCACCATATCATAACTGCGCAGAAAAGTATTGGTTTGACAATTGCAACGAAGATCCAGTGTGAGTATTTAACATGTGTATTGGGCCAGTGAAGCCTTGCTTACTTGGGCGACTTGATATTCATCACCATTTGTACATTGCCGTTGTAATCGTTACCAAATTTGGGATCGACAGTGGAATTAACTCTTGGCCCTAGCGTTGGAGAGACTTCGTCTACCATTTGTCTGGGGTTAGTGCTTATCATAGGCGGAGAGGTTGATATGATTGACGCTCATGTTTGGAAAAGAATCGAATACATATATACGAAATACATACGCCTTTCCTGTTTCACATGGTGTGGCTGAGTTTTTCTAAAGAGATTTAAATAAACTCACCTTCTTCGATATGGTATAGAGGGATTGTGGCACGTTGATCGTTTAAGGTTTTAGGGAACTGCTTTTTGTCTGCTCATTTAGGTTCATAAGCGTCGGGACGGTGACGATTTAGAAAAATGTTCTTTCTAGAGTTAGCCTTCACAGAATGGAGTACATGCAGTTAGAGAGAAATCTTTATCGCCTCCCTGTGCAGCAGTTATATTCCCTGAGAAGCGAGATAAGGATAGGACTGGACAGTCGAAATAGAAGTTGTAAATATCTTTCACTGTCTGAAGGAGGAGAAGACAATATTATTGTTTCAAGTCCAACTAGAGAGGCTCTAACGACATTTAAATTATGCTAGCTCAATGAGGATTTAAAGTTACAACTCCTGAATCGCTGGTACACACTGCCAGCCGTTCTGTCATTGCGGTCGAGAGAGAGTGAGAGTGAGAGAGGCTGTGGCTCATATATTTTCAAGTATATCAAATTACTTTATTGTTAATGGAATATTTCACATTTTTTATTGGTATTTCTTTCAAATTATATGACCGCACAAGTCGGCTATTGTGTCCACAACTGTAAGAAGGACAACAAAGCGAATCGGACAATGAATTGTACGCCATTAAGAGGACTTGCAGCGCTCAATTAAAATTCTTTCGAGTTTTCTCCACTGCCGTGGCGAGCTTTTTTTTCGTTTGCGGATAAATGTCATACTATGAATTTTATTTTTAACTTGTTTTCTTATATTTTATCTGTAATCACTTCAAATATAAATATTTCGAGCAAATAAAGGGTGTTCTTTTTTAATTTAAACGGGTGGTTTTGAAGGAGGCAATCCCTTTTTCGAAGTTGGTCTGTCTTATAACCGTTATTTGGCTAATACTCAGTTTCATAACAAAGCGACTCACGCCTGAACGTCGTTTAAAAATCGTGCAAGTTTAATATTAAAATAATTGTTCGGTTCCCATGACGCATCATGCGTTGCATCAAATATTCGCTCGATTTAATAGCCCAGTAAAGTCGGTAATGCGAACAACGTAAACGTGGTACTTAAGTGGATACTACGCACGCCGTACAGTGCTGTTGGTACTGTTGGGCGGAGCAGAATGAGTCGATTCGTCATCGCGTGGACCAACTTTCGCGCAGGGATCTTGCTGTGCGGGCTTACAAAATGCGACTCGTGCAAGAATTGAATCGAAATGATCATCAAACGGGTCGCTTAATCAATAAATAGTTTCAAAACCGAGAGGTCCACCGATCCCGGTTTTCACAAGAAAATTTTATTCAACGATGAAGCTCACTTTTGGTTGAATGGTGACATTAATAAGCGAAATTGTCGTATTTTGAGACGCCATTAAATCTTCAAAACATCACTGTTTGGTATGTTCTATGTTCACAGATGGAATCGTTGGTCTATGTTTCTTCAAAAGCCAAGCCGGCCGTAATGTTTCAGTCAGTGGGGAATGCTATAAAGCCATAAAGCCGTAGAAACTTCTTCGTGCCTGAATTGGATTACGTTGATATGGACGACTTTTATTGACGTTTGGTAGGCGCATTGGCTCGCATTGTGGGACTGTGGCATGCCCGCCAGGGCTATTTTTTTGTGGAGTCACTTGTCTATGGAGATATTCTTGAAAGAGAATATAAGGTGCGTTTACTGACTTACCGCCCCAATTGCGGCAAAGAAAAGTCCAAAGTTGGAACGATATGCTGTACGGGTTATACGGCGATATAGACAAAGTTTTGTGAATCAAGAGCCAGCGGCCATGCTGACTAGATCATGTGGTTTGGATTGATAAGAGTACTCCAACTTTGAAAGTTTTTGATGCAGTTCCTGCCGGTGGAAGCAAGTGAAGGGTAATAATAACTCCACTCCGTTGGAAGGAGCATGTGGAGATTTAGTATTTGCAACAGTGAAAGGAAAGAACGTTTGACGCGACCGAAATCTCGCAAGCGGTGCCTATGTCAATGAAGAAGAAGAATCGGGGTGGTGTTTTACCCGAAATCGGTTTTAAAACATAATGCCAAACCCTTGTCTTATATATTAAAGCTCAATTTTTGAACACACTTTTCTAAAAAAAAAACACCCTTTATTTGCTTTAAATAGATCTCTTTCCACTACCACTTGAAAAAATATCTCATTGTTGTCCGAGTTTGAGCAAAAAAAGAAAAGAATACAAAAAGAGTTTGAGTATGAAATAAAAGAAATGATTGGAAGAAAGTCAACCTCTCAGTGGACAAGAAGAAATCTACTTATTTTCGCTAATAAATTACAAATCAACTTATAAGCTTACTTACCATTTGGTATTTATGCGTTTACATACTTTCTTAAATTCTTTTTTCTTTCTCTTCTTTCTTCCAGCCAAATTTCGTATTTAGAGCGGACCGCGTGGACGAGTGCAGACGGAGCGAGCCGAGCATTGGCTGGGCGCACATTCAACAAACCTTGAATGATTTTTGGTTATTTACGAAATTTCTTGATTTGTTGATTTCGAGGATTGAAAGTTGTGTGCGGCATTAGCAAATCAGGACAGGAGACGATACGACGACACAGATTGTAGAGACGCCAAACTACAATAAATTGCCAAAGCAAGCCAGAGCATCGAGGGAAAAAAGTTGCAAGGCGAGTGGAAAGAAGTGGAAGAGGAAGAAGAAGTGACGGAAGAAGTGACTGCAAATAGAAATAAAGCAGCGGGAGTGGGCGGTAGTAGCAACACACACACACACACACACCGAGAGGAAAAGAGGGAGCGGCATAGAGTAAGAGTTGCATGAAGCTACGAGCAACGACTGAAGGGTGCTGTGAGACTCCATTGTGGGTAGAAAGTTTGGCAACTCAGCCGACATTGTGTGGCATGGCTTAAGCAATAGTTGAGGAGCAAACTCAATTGTAGTTTGATGTTTTTGTCAATTGTGGTAGTTGTTCTTATTGTTGTAGTGGAAAATCAAATAATCAAAGCAAATACACTGAGACTCTAATAACAAGACAAGCTACTTGAGGCGAGGATATACATGGCAGTCAGTAGTCAATAGACACACGCCAGCATAATAATAAATAGTGTTGACAAGGAAAAGAAGAAGAAAAACTACAACAAAAGCAACAACAATAACAACAAACAGGAAGTAGAAATATGTTGGCTTTCGCTCAAGCAGCGACGACGTTAAGATGAGCAACGGCAAGGATCAAAATCTTAAATAGACAAAAAAAAAAAAGAAAAACTACTAAAGAGGCGTAGAGAAGAGACAGAAGAGAAAGCAACGAAAATAATAAGAAAAAAGAAAAATAAGATGTACCAAGTAGAGAAAGCAGCATAAGAGGCAAGTGGACGAAAACCAGGCAAGAGCAGTGAAGTGAAGAGTAGCGGAAATCTTTAGCAGGCCAAGAAGACACAGAATCTCTACGAATATTAGAGGTCGTCACTAAGACGGCGAACGTGTGGAAACCGCAAGCAAACGACGCAAATAAAAGCAACAACAACTCACATAACAAACAATTTGTGCAATAATAGTGAAAGCAGAAGAGTAGGAGAAGCAGCGACAGAGTCAACCGCAGTTGTCTGCCGCCGGCGTCCACAAAGCGCAGGATAATGTGTACGACGGCTGTTGAGACGCGTCATAAATGCACGAATGAGCAATGTGTTGACAACAGAAGCAGCAAGAGTAAGCGGCGAAAGAGTATTAACAACAACAGCAACAACATAAACAACAACAACAGCAGCAGCATACAAAGCAGCAATTACCGAGTTAATGTCAATGACGGCGACGTTGAAGATGGGCGAGTGCAAAAAAGTTGGACAGAGCAGGAACAAGAGCGACAACAGCAACAACAACAACAACAACACGCACATAAACGACAACAACAACTATCACAGCAGCACGAACAGCAAAGACAACAGCGAACGCCACAACAGCACCAAAATCAAGAAAAACATAAATCTCAACAACAACAACTACTTGTCATACAACAGCCCGGCCATAGACTCGTGCATGCAGCGATGATCCAAATGGAAGAAAAATCAACCACGCAGCCGGCAATGGGGAATCGCGTGCAGCAGCAGCAACAACAACAACAACGACAACAATATCAACAGCAAATAGAACAACAACAACAACAGCAACGGCACAATAAACAGCGAGTGAAGCAGCAACAGTCTGACAAGCGGCAATGCAGCCACTTTGGCGGTGGTGGTGATGGTGTAAGCAGTTGTTGTTGTTGTTGCAGCTGTCGAGCAGGAATCAAGTGGAAAATTATAATATCAACAATAATTTTGCTATTATGCCGCACAAGTGAGTACAATACAAACAAGCATCTACATACACACATACATATAGACACACGCTGAAAATATATGTGAAAATATATACACATACATATACATATCCATATATATATTTATATGGAAAATAAAGTGTATAAATGACAAAATAAAAATAAGCTGTATGAAGCGAAAGAGTTGGGGGTAAAAGAAAGCACAAAAACACAAAGAAAACACACACACACACACAAAATGTGCACAATGAAAACACAACAACACCAACAATAGAGCAATAAAAGCTCCATGCACTAATAATAATAACAAAAGCGTCATTAACAACAATAACGACAACAAAAAGCAACAAAATGCATTGTACGTAATAATACATAGAGTCGGAACAAAAATAATAACAATAATAATAATAATAATAATAGCACTTGAGTGTAATAATAAAACAATATACACATGTACATAGTGGTATGTGTGACCACTCGCACTCATATATACATATATGCATAAGTACAATTGGAATATTATAAAAATGGTGGAGAAAAGTGTAAATACCCTGCAGGAAATCATAAACTGAATAATCGCCTGTATGGTAGCTATTAGACAGTTTTCGGCGCCAAAAGTTCTTATGTTATATGTGAATGAATCTTCAAAATTCATCTGCTTAGAAGCGTCCGATGATTTTTAATAGCACAAAAAACTCCTTATATGTATTTTTTGATACCACGAAACGTTATTCAACCATAACTGAATAAACTAGTATTTTACTAGTATGAAGCTGATGTATGGCTAGTCAGTTGACATTTTCATGAAGTTTATCTGGTGAACCAACAAAGTTACATAAATAAACAATGCCAGCATTTTGTTTCACATCATTTAGTTTTTCCTGCAGTGTCTCATGGCATATTTTGTTTTTGGTTTTTTATATTTGATGTATAAGTGCGCACTTTAATGGCGAAATGCAGCTCATAAGTTAAAGAAAACACCAGTAAGTTGAGTGTTGCGTTGAGTGATGACATAAATATGTACTATTGTAAATACCGTATTGTACTGTTAACATGCAGGTTAATGTGCTTTTATGTACTTGATATACAGCTGTGGTTCCTACAATGGCTACGGTATGATTTTTTTTTCACTAAAAATAATTTTATTGCTATATTAGTTGTGTAAAGAGTTACGGTATTAAGCAAATAGAAAGCAAATAGAAAAGAAATCTGTGAAAATCCCATTATTATCAGCGCCTAGGAAGGTAAGATTTGATGTAGCTCTCACAAAAGTGCCTTTTGCTTTTCTGTGTACCAGCACAGCCGATCTTAGCCCTACCAAATTTGATTCATTACTGGTAAAATGACAGACGACTAACTTGACGAGTTATAGAAAAGCCGCGAAGTGGCAAGGCAAAATTTGCCTGAGTAGTATTTTAATCTAGGTTCGAATAACATTAAATTCGCAATTTTTATGCAATACTGTTAGAGCTTTATATTTATGCTGAGCACGTTTCATCTTCACCTTCGAATGGTGTTTTCAATGAAACATTGAAACTACTTGATAAGGCTTTTGGGACAGCTGTTCAAGTTCTATTCTGTGATACTATTTTTGTCCTGTTATATAATATTTGGTCTAGATCTGCAGCGATATGGATTGCCATCTGTTCTGATTTATTTATTAAAATTGTATGAGAAGATCCCTTTTTATTCTTACTCTGATCTTTATCTGTAATCTTTTTCTTATATCCGTATCCATATCCTTATTCTTACCCTTATCCTTATCCTTATCCTTATCCTTATTCTTATCCACATCCTTATCCTTATCCTTATCCTTATCCTTATTCTTATCCTTATCCTTATCCTTATCCTTATCCTTATCCTTATCCTTATCCTTATCCTTATCCTTATCCTCATCCTTATCCTTATCCTTATCCTTATCCTTATCCTTATCCTTAACCTTATTCCGTAATTCAGCGGTTCTTATTTTGTTGTGCACAGAAAATGCAGAATCCCCTACGAATGTAACTTGGAAACCAGCGAGTACATATGTATGTAAATATGCCACTAAACAAACGAACAAGCATATTTTTACCCCTTTTCTATGCACTCGTATGTGCATATATATAATTATTTTCATTACGAATGCATATGTAAATTTATATATATATATACGTACATACATACTTACAACAGATGCTTTTATTTGTCTGTCAACTGTTGGTGTTATTCATAAAGGTATAATTAAAAACATGTCACGGTTTTGTTTTTAGTTGCGAGAGTTGGAAAAGAAAGGTACAAGTCAAAGGGTGTTTAGTTTTTAAAGCTTTAATATACTTGAAATTTATAAAAGAGAAGAGAAATAATTTTGGAAATATTGCCAATAATATTTAGAAGTTTTTAGAATTTCTTAAACATTCTACTTATTATTTCTTGTTTTTTTTTTAAAGCTACGTCTATTTCAGAATTTCTCCCAATCACCCATTATGTATGAGTGGATGTATTTTACTCGTTTTCCCTCCCATCATGTGCAGTTATTACAATGCAAAGTATAATATTTTAGCTAATGCTCTTTGTTTAATTGAAGTTGAAAAGTTTTTAAGTTGGCATTTGTTGCAACTGAAATTGTGAATTACTTAATTACCACGCTGGAAGTGCTGGGATATTAACATCTGGAGCATCACAATATCACAAAGTTTACAATTTACGATGTTATTTTCTTGCGAATAAAATAAATACAGAAATTTATGTTAATGTTGTGACTTTGCGGGTGATTTGTGTCTAATTAAGAAATTCCATTCACTGTAAAGTCAAATGCTTTGAGCGCAGCTTAGAGATTGGGACCTCTTTAGAGAGCTCCAAGATATGTAAAAAAAACCTATTTTAGCGCTCTGTAAGATTTTCAGTGATTAGCGGTCAGGTTCCATCGTCCCTTAGCGATATAGGCCTCCTAGTACTGGTAAAGCTTTGAGCTGCGATAAGACTTTCGATGTGCCAGAAATAATATTGAAAGTATTTAAATGATATGGAGAGGGGTTAACGAGCTCAACCCTTCACATTGCGATGAGTGTGACTGCCAAAACAGCATAAAACAAAAAAAAAACCCAAACTACTTTACTATTGATCACTGCTATCAATCTGATACAAATATAAGTAGTAAAGACAAAAAAAGCATCCAAGCGGGTTCTAAGTTAAAGACTCGATCATGACTCTATTCGGCCAGGCGCTGTCACTTTTTCAGCAACCTAACAAAGGTAATTTTACAAATCTTTGCGCGGTTGGGGTTATAGAATTTTCCCACGCTAAAGCATGCATATCGTGTGATCCAAAAGTTCCGCGGCAGTCGGGTCTATATATCCGAATTTTTATCCCTCCAAGGACTGTCAGTTCTTCAATATTCCAAAAAGAATACTTTGGTTAATATTTTTAGTAATCCCTACAGAAGATAGCCATATTTAGTCGATGTTAAGAGTCTATCTCTCTCTTGATTTTTTCGGCACTTAAGGGATGCTGCATGAATGATGGGGAGTAAGAAATCGGCATCAATTTCTTAAGTGAGTTTCCTGCGTTTGACAGCGCTAAGCTTCGACTGTTAGATGGTCCATCGAAGAGAGCCGATGTCATGGATCTACTGTGCTATATTAGAGAATCGAAATGGTTGGAAAATGAAGACGATAAATTGGTAACCACCATAACCTATCCTAACCTAACCTAACCTAACCTTTTTCATGAAAACTTTTCAACTAAACTCATCGGATATTGCCATCAGCTAAGCAGCATTTAGCAGGAGGGGATTAGTGAACGATTTGTAGAAATTCGGCTTTGTGCCTCAAGGGAGAACTTTATTTTTCAATCGCCTACTCAGTTCTACTCAGCAGTATCTGCCGTCGTCGTGAATTCTCAATGAAAATTTAACCTTCCCTGTTTAGTTCTGCAACTTGTATTATGTTCTCCAGCATTAAGCTAAGGCGGTCACCCAAGAAAGAGTCCACTTGGCTGAAAACTTGTTTGTTATCGAACAGCTCCGAGAGGTGCCTCAGGATTTTGATGGAGCTCCTAGCATAGAGCAGTGTAAGACAGTTCAATTTACATAGCCGGCCGTATAAGTTTAGCAGGGATACTAAGTTCACTCAGTCAATTGAAAAATAAAACGGGCTATCACACTATATATAAGCCTTTTGGTCTTTGGTTATAATAAATGCATTTACATCAGAGCTTTTTGCGAAGATCATGAGAACCTCGATAATTAGATTTGATCAAGTTTCTGGTAGCAGAGGAGATTGTCTCAGCGTCCCACTCATGCCCTCTCGCCAGCACTTCCTGCACGTTACTCATTCGGCTCGCTTGTGTTGACTTTATCCTGCTATAAAATCCTTGGAAAACCCACACAAATACAGCGTAGTATCTTGATATGGTAATTCCAAAGAATTCACTTTTCATCCAAACAATTTTAGACATGAAAACTCAAGCATTCATTTGGCTCTAAAATTAATACCGCTAAACTGCTGTCTCAGCACAAAGGTTGCCAAAATCATTATTTCACAAACAGAGTGCTATAATTTATTATTTCATATGGGTAGTCTTTCCTTCTTTTATGAAAATAATGATCCCACTTGAAAGGTTAACAAATATACCTAATCTCTCTCTCTCTCTCTCTCTCGCCCTTTCTCTCTCTCTGTCTTTTATGAATTAGGCGAACTTCACTTTATTTAAATGTCCACACGATATATTTATTCCTGCCGAAAATAAACAGCAAAACAACAAAAACAGTGTAAAGAAAATTATATTAAAATAAATTTTGATTTATTATTTGCATAAAAATTTGAGGGGTACTTAATATAATTTTACAACAAGGTTACTTACTATACTCGCACAATCATTTATTTGCACAGGAAAATGCCAGTCACGTCGCATCACTCACCAAAGAGCTTACTTACTAACGCACACACACATACGTACATGTATACATGCAGAAAGTAACTTACCTGCCGTTGGTAGCAGTAGCTATGCGTGCTACTATATGTGTGTAAGTATGTAAGCATGCTTGTGTAGCGACGAATATAATACAGCTCCAAATTGCACCTCAACACCCTGTTAGCCAACTACAATTACTCATAACACTTAATACGTGCTCATTGTTGGTATTCAAGGAATAAAAAAAAAATTAAAAAAAAAAAAGGAAAATAACAAGAAAAATGACAAATGCATTTACCTCTGTTATACGGTTTGAAAGCAAATATATGTAAATATATATATATATATATATTTATTTATATATCAACGAGTATTAGGGAGTATCCAATTTGAAGCTAAAAAAATTATGAAGTGTAATTTCCTTATGAAAAAATTATGCATAAATTATGGTTTTGCAAAAATATATATATATATATCTTTTTTTATTTACATACATATTTTTAATAAAAACATTATTTTTTTAATTTTATGCAAACCATGCACTAGATATCTATTAGGGTGTGTCAAATTTCATGACAAAAAATTAAAAAAATTTGTAAAGTAACTTTTTATATAAAAATGGTTATTATAAACAAAAATAACTACAACAAAAATAACTACAGTTTTTTTTTTAAAATTACAATGTAAAAAATTTCAATTTGTTTTCTTTTTAAATTTACATGTGATTTTGTACTAAAATATATTAAAAAGATTTATTTAAATTTAAAGCGAACTTATAACAATATATGTATAAATGTATAAAAATATTTGTAATAACATTTGAAATTAATTTTATTTTTAATAATTCCGAAAAAAAATTTTATATTATTCTTGCATTAATGGGGCTAAAATGACAGTTGAAGTATTTTTATTTTTAAAAATTCATGCTTTGCAATTCAAAGTTTACAACTAAATTTATTTATAGGAAAAAAGATGCGAAAAATAATTTTGCAATTTTGAAAATATTTCAACGCTTTTGCAGGTAAAATTTAAAAAAAAAAATTATTTGGTATATTTTTGCCATTTTTTCCAATAAATTGCGACCTCAAAGTATATGTGAAATTCGAAAAAGTTCTTTAAAAAAATAATAATAGTAATTAATAACAAATTTTAGTAAGAAAAATATATTTTGACGGTAAATTTCATGCGCTACAAATTCCAGCAAAAGATTGTAGGACAAAAGTTCACTCCTTTCAAAGTTACATATTCATATCCAAATTTATGCATAATTTTAAAAGAAAAATTATTTAAGTGACGCGTTTGACAATCCGTTTTTTTGAAAACCCGCTGCACAAATATGATTTTACAATTTTTTTTTGGAAAATTGTGGCCTTGAAAAATATGAAATATTTGAAATGGTTTTCATAAAAAAATATAATTTAGTTATTAATAATAGTTATTGTAATTATGGCGCTTAAAAAGTATGTTTAATGATCTATCACTTCAGATCAATTCATTAATATTAAATTTGGTAAGGGAACAAATTTAGGTTACGTATACGCAGTGTCGCCTTTTTTCATGGAAAATCTTAGAAATAGTAAACATTTAATTTTGGCATTTTTAGAAGATATTAGCATTAAAAGATTAGAAATAGTTTGCATTACTTCTCATTTTTTAATGCCAAAAAAAAATTTTAATTAAAAATTAGTACAAAATTTGGTATAAATAATTTTGCATTTTTTAGTACATTTAATTCACTAAAAGTGTTTAAAAATTTATTTCCAAAGTTATTAAAGCCTATACTTGGGCTTTATGTTATAAGTAAAATTATTGAGGTTACGTATCTGCAATATTGGGCTGAAAAAGCGTTTTTAAAGAAAAACCACCGCCAAAAATGTTTTAAAAATAATTTGGCATACCAAATTTTTTAAAAATAAATTTTTTTTAATTTTTTCAGAATATGTAGGCTTAAATTATGTTGGAATACCGTAAAAAAATCTTTTAATAATAACATTTTCCTTATAAAAACACTATTTGCTGTTGTAACATTAAATTCTTTACAAGTAAACCTAAAATACAAGTGAAAGCAAAAGCCACTGGCAATACAATGCACACCCTAATATTTATACAAACAAACACATATGTTAGCATGTAGACACCTCGAAAATTGTATTTGACACACAAACAATGGAGAAATCAAGCAGAATGTAAAATGTGAAACATAAATGCGAGCTAAGAGCGCAATAAAAACCTGAAGTAACAAATAAAGTAAAAAAGAAGAAATACAAAACAAACAAAAGGAACGCAAACGAGCATAGTAAAAGTAAAGGCAAATAAATTATGGCAATTTATAATTTTTGCCAGCTTTTCCTTTTCACATTTCGCCCAAAGCATTTTTGCATTAAATCTTTTTCATATACCAAGACTCATTTTATCTTTTCTCTTCTCTTTTTCTTGCATTTTCATCTCGTCCGAACTCCACCCGCCGGTGCCACGTACGTACGACCGGCAATACTTTGCATTGTCTGTGCGCCTGCTTTGTCGCCAACAAAAGGTCACGTGCTCGCCATACGAAAGGGTCGCCTCATGTCCCCGAGCTCATTCACTGCCCTAAGCGGAGATCTTCACGTACAGATACAATTCAGCGCTGAAGATGTGCCATTGCAGGGCATGGCGGGCGGCAATGGTAGTGGTGTTGATGTGGGCGTGGCAGGGGTTAAAGCTAAAGATGGCGCTGAAGTGTTATGGACTGATGAAGCGTATACGAGCAGAAACGTAACAACGATGACAACAACAACAGCCACAACAAGAGGCGCAACCACAACAGAGGGTAGAACAACGGCGACAGCAACAGCGGCGGCAACAAAGAGAACGACAACAACAACGAAAACGACAACTACATCACGCACAACACAGCCATTAGATGGGTTGGGTAACCGTCAAGTGGGCGACGGGCGTGTCGTGGGTGTGGGTGTGGAGAGCACGATTACAAGCACTTTGGTAATTAGTAAAATCATTGATGATTTTGCGGATGCAGTGGATGTGGCGCCGACGTATGGTAATGATACGGCAGCACATACACATGCTCACGAGAGCGCCGCCCGGTTCAATGGCAGTCTAACGAGCAGTTCGAGTTCGAGTACGGAAGTAACAGAGCCATCAGTGGCGCACAATGACACCCACAATCAAACAGTGCCGCCGCGTATACAAACAACAACTCGAGTGTTGCAACGCCGCCGCAAGGAAATCGTACAGAACATACCTGTCTTCGCTGATCCACGTCAGAATGTGACACAAATCTCTGTGCCCTGTCAGACATTTACACGCGGCGGCTTGTATGAAATGCAAGTAGTGACCAATTTGAAGACCACCACTCCCGTAGCTAATACTCGGAATGTCAGCACACATGAGCCGCTGCCCACAATGACCACCACCACACTGATGCCCATCGTTGATGAGCGTCTACGTCAAACACTCGACGTGCGATGGCCGAGCGCTGATATGCAGGTGTCACCGACACGTCTACGCACCTATCCCGATCAACCGGTTGAGGTCGTGTTGCGATTTCCGGAGGTTAATTGCGAACGCGCTTGGCATGAGAGTAATTCGCTAGATTTACCGCAATTTTGGCTGGAGCTCATTTATTGCGGCAAGCAGCGTAGTTGTAATGACGTGTTGCCGCAAAATGTCAGCAAATCGAGTATTTTGTATATGGAGCAGGTGCGCGGCTATCCAAAGCATAAACTGGTACGTCTCGGCTGCGAGCTCTTCGGTTTGGCTGGCAATTATGCTGTGCAATTGCGGCCGATGGTGCCGGCGCCGAATGTGCCGATAACACGTCGCTTCCTCAGCGTCGACTGGAGCGATAAATTTGTGTTCAATGTTTACGCTCGCAGTATATTCCCGTGCGATCCGCATACGGGCATTGGCGTGTTGTATGAATATCCGGCCTGTATACTCGAGCAAGGTGATCGTGTGCGCGTTTTTGCCAAGTTGCGCGCTGATGTGGCTTCGTTGAAGCCGCCAACTACGCTACATTATGTCGCCGAGCAGCGTGTGGTGAAGAGTCATCATTCGCTCTACTTCAACTGTGACCTGTTCACCGAGAAATATGTGGAGTATTGCTTCGTCTATGTGAGTCAGGCTATTTCGGGTGCGGTCGCTGATGTGCGTATGGACTGTGTACCGACGTTGCCTGTCAGTGGTGAGTAGAAATTTCCTCTTTATATTATTGGATTAAAAACTGCAGACTTGAGCAGTTAAAGAAGTGGATAGAGAGTGGGAGAGTAGTGAGAGGGGGATGGGGAGAGAGAGAGATAGGGGGAAAGCTATTACTTTAGCCCTTAAGCGCTTTGTTAACGGGTCCGTCATTATAGTATGAATGGTGCTTCACGCGAGGGTGCCAAGTCCAGGCAACTGCACGCGGTGGTACGGCTGGTACCTATTGGCCAGTCTAGAAACATCTCGTTGGAAGCAAATGTAATCAAACCGAAAAACACCCTTTCTTATGGCGACATTATAACGATTTAGTCACCAAACATCGCTTTCAGCGACACCTGCTACCTGTGCTTTAGACACCATACTTCCTTCGGGACCTTCGGGGTTGCTTCAGCAATGGCTTAATTAAAAGGAAGAGTTTTTAAGGATGCAACCATTTGGTATGTTGCTGGAAGTATTAACGGTACTACTGATTCCTGATACTATTGGTCCTAACAGTTGGTGCCTCGTGGTGGGGTGAATATTCTGAAAAGCCTTCTTTTGTCTCAGAACTTCGTGTACGTTTGTAGGGTCGTCCTATTGACAATTTTTTGACATTTTGTGGATCGGTTCTGTAATGGGTTTTTGGTCATGGTTGTATTGGTTGTGTGCAGGCTTCTCAAGAGTTGTCCGTTTTGCAGGGGCTCCAGAATGAGCGAACACAGTCGAAGTTGTAGGTGAGTTGGAGTTCTAGCTTTTGAAGACGGTATATTTCCCGTGTTTCTCCTGCTACCGCAACCAAATAGATCACCTCCTCCTTTCACAACATCATTCCGGAACCGTGGACAATTGTAAGTCCAGTGAAAAAGTACGCGGCTGTGGGTTACGATTGCAGCCTTCTATATTGTGTTTGCAGACACGCAAAGCGCAGACCGGTCCTACATTCGCATAAAATGCGTGCAAATATATAAACGCTGAGAAATTTCAAACCGGGTTCTTCCTCAAAATTATGAAATTCCCTTACAAGTACCTTCTAAAGAATGAATGGACTTACCGGACAGCTTTTTTTCCAAGCGGTCTCCGAACGGCTGATGGATTTTTCTGAGAAGCATTGACAATTAGAAGTTTTTTCTATAATTCAGAATATTAATATGGTCAGGACTCGAACCCATAGCGCTCCAAGTACACGATACAGTATACAGCTTTAAGCACTGTGAAGAACGTGACTGGGGCCTTCAACAGTATTTTGTAATTTTAGAATATTAAGTAGAGCATTTGCTGAGAGGCTCCTTCGCTCTTGCACGGATGTTGATGAGCTGGAGTCGGTTGAAGACTACCTTTGCTTATTCATCACAGTGTGTGTGACGATATCGATTCCTCGTGAGTTTTTAGCTCTCCTGTTTTCTGGGCAATAAAGATGATGAGAGGAAGTGTTTCCATTGATCTGAAAGGTCTAAAGACGCTTGGTCTCAGTGCCCTAACAACTAACTCACTTAGGCTAGACATTCTTTGACTACAACATCCCGAAAAAGGTTTTAAACTTCAAGAAACTAAGTCTTCATACACTCCAAAGTATCCATTCGCTGACGTGATTTTTTTTCTATTGTTTTCTCTAACCTAAAATAGTTTCATTTATTAGAAATAGCGAAAGCAGTTCAGTGCTTAAAAAAGACTTAAAAGACATTGTAAACTCAGTATATGACTGACAAATGTTTATGTGGGTGAGTGTATATGTGTTTGTGTGTGTGTGTGTAAGATTCGTAATAAAATCATAAATGCATATTAGCAAAATGAGCACAATACATACAAGCAAATGTATATACACACATACATATATAATGCACATCATATTTGTAAAGTGATTAGTAGTGCAAATGTATGTTACACACACATATGTACATACATACATAAATTATAACTATGAGTGACATTAGATTACTACATTGTTATTAGCCAGTGAATAACCCATTGAGCATACTTGACATCTACTCAACGAGTTCGACTCCCTCGCCTGCCCTTTCTGTCGCCTAGCCCGTCACATGGCTTGTCATGGCATAACATAAGTATTCGTATTCGCGTTCTTAATCACTCACTCGATGCACCAAAGCACTATAGTCATGGCATGACATACTAGTGTTGTTGCTGCTATAGTCAGTTCGTTGACTAGTTAAAAGCAGCAGCAGCAGCAGCAGCAGCAGCAGCAGGGGCAGCAGCAGATGAGCATTTTGTTGCAACATTGTTATTTAATCATTTGTTTATGTACCTTCAGTGACATACTTACATGCATTAGTACAAACATACATACATACATACAAACATTTATATAATATGTATGTGTAGTGGGTGACAACGGGTGTAGACATTATGACGTCCGCGTAAATATGGCACAATGACTAAATTTAGGTCATTATGGACAGAGTTCAAATAATAGATATTGTTTGCCTATATGTGTTGCACGCTCACACACACACGCATATCTTTTTTGTTTTTGAGTGCGTTTATTATTAATACTATCTCCTGCAAGTTGACAATACGCGAAATACGCGTACGAGCCACCTTTAGGGACTGAGCATACATTGAAAGCGGCGACGCTGATAATGTGCAATGCAAACACACACACACACACACCTATGCACAGTAGAATTTACAATGTGGCTTAAAAGTGAGTGAAAAGAGTTTTCGTGTAGTAAACTTGAAAGAAAATTTCATTAATTAAAATGTTTTATAAATTGCTTATTGTAATTTTTATTTCTTACTTCATTAAAAATAAATTAAATTTTTTTTTAATTTTTTTTAATTTTTTTATTAATTGATTTATTTTTTTTTTATATAACACGTTAGTTCGGAGAGCTTACGGGAGAAAGCTTAAAAGAATTCATAAATGTTGAAATATAGAAAATTCTTAAAATTTAGTTATCAAAATATCAAAATAATGATGAGTATTTTCGCCAATCTTACTTTAATTACTTTTCAAAATGGCAAAAATGTGTAAAAACAATTTTTAATAAAAAAAAATAAAATAAAAGTAAAAAGGGCCATAAACTTAAAACTCCAAAATGCTCTACAGTTTATTTATTCACATTAATTATTGATGAAATTCTAAATTTGGTTTCTTATATGAAAAAGTTAGTTAAAATAATTTTTAATAAAAATTTATAATATAGATTTTAAATATTAAAAATTTCGAATAAATTAATATAATAATAATATTTTAATGTTTTTTTTTAATTTTTTAGAATTAGTTTTTAAGTAGAAGATTTCAATAAAAATTCCATTAATTAATATTTTGAAAAATTATTTATCCAACTATTGAACTAACTTCAACATTTATTATAATTTTAAAAATAATTTATTTATTTATTCATTATTGTTCTAACGGTTATGTTAATTCAAATATTTTTTAATTAAAAGATTCAATCAACTTTTTTTATTAAAAATCGCATAGAGTTTCGGCTAAAAAATTTTTTTTTTAATAAATTTAACCAAAACTAGTTCATCCAAATATCGAGTCTTCGGTAAGTTTAAATTTCAATTTTATATTTAATATGAATTTGAGTAAAAATACTTACTAGAATTTTTTAAAAATTAATTTATCCAAATATTGATCTAATAGTATTTAAAGTTTATTTTTAATATAAAATATTGTTGAGAGGTTTTTTTTTTGAACAAACCATTATTGAAAATGTCATAAATTAAATTTGCTTTTTGAAAAATGTTTCATCCAAATATAATAATAAATGAATTAAAAGATTTAAAAAAAAAAATTTATTGGAAATTTCGTAAATAAAATTTGAATTTTTTGTTAGACTATTTATACCGCACTTTTTATTGTAAATCTCAATTTTCTATTTTTTAATATGAACAAATATATGAATTTTTGAGGAAAAAAATTGATAACCATTTTTTTTATTTTAAAAAATTATTTTACTAAATATTTCGTTGTGTGACAAAAAAATATTTAATTTTTAATTTTTTTTATAAGAATTTTTTTTTTTAGCACAAGATGTTTAGATGATTAAGCTTTTAATTGACATATTAACAAATTAAAAAAAAAAACAAATATTTGTTATAATTAATAATAAATAATATTAATAATGAAATAATTCGCTCTATATACTAACCTGAATATAAAAATTTTAATAAATTTTAAATTTTAATTTTTCATTTTCCCTTCTCTTAAACCGCAAACAAAAATCGTTGCATACTTCTAGGAAAAATTTCGGTTATTCTATTGCAGTGACTTTAAAATTCTTCGTATGAAGGTTTTGTCTTCGTAGACCAATGATAAGATTTTCCGAAGTAAACTTTTTTTTAGAGCATTTTAACACTCTGACGGCCTTAAGAGTTTGATTTTTGAGTCAATTTATTTGTAGTAATGGGTAAAAAGTGTTTAAATTTCACATTTTTTTTTTAATTTTTTTTTTTAATATTTCTCTTGAAATTATTATTTTTTAAACACAAAAAAAAAAATCATGCAATCCTAGAATTTCGAAAAAGAAAAAGTGCAAATGATCTTCGTCTTAAATTTTTGCTTATTTTTTTTTAATAAATTAATATATTGCAACACTTTGTTGAAAATTTTGTGTGTTTAGAAAAGGCTTTGAATAATAATTTTCGCTTGGTATGTTGTTAAATATCTTTTCTCAAATAAGAATAAATTTTTTTAGTATTTTTTTTTATGTGTATTTATTCATTATTTATGAATATTTGATGAAAATTTGTTGAAAATTTTGTATATGAATTTTCTTTATATATTTTTTAGTTTTTGTTTAATTTTTTTTTTTAAATAACCATTTCTTTTTTTTTAATTTATTAAACTATGAAGAAAACTTTTATAAAATTTTTACAAGGCAATTTTTCTTTTAAATTATTCGTTAAACATAAAAAAAATGTTTGAAAAACATTTTTGAAAAATTCAAAAACTGGGTAATTTTTTGACCTCACTGTATATATATTATGAATGTATGTACATATATCTATAGGAACAATAGGAACGTTACTTAACAATACAACTACATATTCATATTTGCTTGCCAGCTTTGTGTGTATTCGCATGTATGCGTGAGTAACTCTCTTGTAACGGCATTTGATTATTTTAGCCTCGAGGGTTCGTTGATATCTTGTTGAGATTGATGTTATTCAGCTCCCGTTTGCAATAGCTGCTGCTATTGTTGTTGTTATTGTTGCATTCAATGCATTTGCCATTGTTAAATATTGCTTTGCTGTCAACATTAACCCACCAACGCTGTAATTGTAGCGCAACGCTGCCGCTGTGTGTGTTGGCTGGTGGGTGGTTTAGCAATGCAACAATGGCATTTAGTCCTGATCTAGTTGGCAGCCATTCGTCGCACTTCTGCCACCTCCGCGACTGGCCGAAATGTCATATTTGTCGTTATATTGTGATCGATGTCTCAGCTGAGTGCAATATAGTATACTAATTTTATTTGCTTCGGGACCAAAATGGATTTTGATTGCCCGATTATTTTCCATAGGTCAAGCCGGTGGAAGAGTACTATGAGTATCACAGTTATTACCGGGTTCTCACATCTTTGGTGGTCTTCAACTTCTCCTTCTGCTGGCTCAAAGCAGTTTATGCTATAGCTTCAGAGCAAATATCTATCTCGGGTATTCGAGCCTTCAGGCTGTGTGAAGGGGTGAACGTTTTCGAATGCCAGTCACAGTAACTTTGGGGTTTTAAAAGTCAGAGCTTTCATCACACGCAGCCAGTTTTCGAGTGTCCCGCTGTTGCAGGGTTACAGTTGATTTTATGAATTATATTCTTAAGTGGTTGGCAGTAAAGGGATCAGAGTTGAGAGGAATGAGGTGTTTATAATGGAATAAAGGCTTTCAATATTCTTGCGGACGTTAACAACAACAATCACTCGTGCGGGATATCGAGAGGATCCTCTTAGTAGGAAGGTGAAGTCTCGAAATATTAAAACTAAGTGGTGAAAGGACAAAATCTCTGACAGCAAATTGGTTAATATTCCATCGAAATTATGCTGCTGAATCTCGTCGACTTAGCTAATTCAGGGTTCATCGCTTTAAACCAAATGGTAATGACGACCTTTCAATGACCACCAGCAGCACCCCTGGGCTGTGTCCAGATAGCTCTAAGCCCGGTTTTGGTTGAGATCATACATTATCTGGGAGCTTATGGCGTTTACTGCCAATATGGTGCCCTGCATTTAGCGGATGTGCAACTGAGCTTAGAGCTTTCCGCTTCCTTATACCAATATTTCCTTTCTACTCTTTTTATATCGATTACAATGACTAAAAGTAATAAAACTGATGATAAAAACGTGCATATCAGCCGCATGTGCCATACCTTCCATTAATAATGCAATCTTTTTTCTTTTAAATCTTCCCTCTTTTTTTATTAACGCCACGCTGTCGTCATCGCAACACTTTACCCATCCGGTTTGAATGCGCTGCTGCAACGACGCTGGGTCACTGGATTGCTGCCATCAACTCACCCACCATCTCTGGTGCGGATGTCTTCCACTGTGTCTTCGTGTATGCGGATTTGTGCGGCTGCTCTAATCACATTGCACGGCTGATTGCGGCATACCAACGCTATTGTCTCATCCCAACAACAACCACTTATGCGTTCATCGCTATTCGTCGTCCACTTACTTGTGATGTCGGCTTTTGGCACACATTATAGAATCCGATACTGGCGGTTGGGGACCGTGGAGTGAATGGACACCCTGCTCAACGAATTGTCTCGGTGGCACGCGTAATCGTTATCGATTTTGTGATTCACCCCCACCACGATATGGCGCTAAATTCTGTGAGGTAAGTACATACCATACATTCAAACATACATAAATATATATAATCGCAAAGTGTAACTAAATAACTGCGACGAGTCAAGCGGCAAGCCAACAAATACCCATAGACCCACAAAGCGGGTGAGTATAGTGAGTATCATAAGAGCTAGTCAAAGAGGCAGTCAGCCAAGCAAACAACCAAACAATCAAACAAACACACAACCGACTAACCAGCCGGGCAGCCCTTAAGTGACCGTACTTTCCGCAGCTTGCCAGCAATGCGTGGCCTGCTTAACTTTAAGTTTAACTTCAGCGCGTCGCCTCAACCAACGTCCGTCGGCGTCGTCGCCGTTGTCGCTGTTGTCGCTGTAGCCGGATCAGCGCGCATCGTTAGATCACTTTGTCGCTTGGCCAACCATCGACTGGCAAATGGCATGGCATACTGTGGTGCATAATTTAAAACTTTTCCCGCGCATTTAGTTAAGTGATTTTATTTTCCAACACGCCGGGTCGGCTAAGCACACGCAAGCAACCTCACTATATTTGCTTAACTTTCTATTTTTCGTTTTTCTACTCTTTTTTTCATCATTTTTCCGTGTTTCTACTTTTTCTATGGCGCATCTTTTGTTGAGCTAAACGCATCACATTACCGGCTTGCTGTGTTGTGTACACTTGTTGTACTTGTTGTACTTTTTGTTATTGCTGTTATTGTTGTGGGTAAACTTTTTAAAGTTCGAAAATCCACATAGTACGTATATACATATGTATGTGCATATATGTATATGTACATTACAACGAACTCAGTTTAGCTCAGCTCAGCTGGGTTGCAAGTTTATAGCGCAGTTTTTGTCCCCTTGTCCGCTTGGCTCGTAAATCGTAAATCGTAAATTTATAGTTGCAATTTAAGTTATATATTTAAAGTTTAATGGTTACATTCACTGATGGCCATTCATATAGATACATATAGATATGTATAATTCTATATATATATGTATATGTATGTAATGCTATAATTGCACAGTTATATTGTTCGTAATGAATTGTGGTCTTATTTGTGTGGGTTTTTTTAATTTGGTTAGCCGATTGGTTAGTTGACTTTGTTGATAAACTGTTAGGGACAGATAAGCAATGATTTAGAAGTTAGTTTGGCAACAATGAAAAGCCGTTACTAATATTTGAAGAGCGCATAACAGCGATGCCAAAAGTAATTTTTTGAATTAATATTGTTACTAAATAGAGAATTTGATTTTATAAAGGTAGGTGACTCGGCTAAAATTAATTTATTTGAGCCCGAATGTAGGCAACAGTTATTTTAATGTAATTACCCTACAAATAGGAAACGTTGCCTACATTTTGGCGATCCACAGACTTAACAACTCTTGACCATTTTAAAAAACCTTCAAAGTTTTTCAGTATGAAAGTCATACAAATTAAATTTTTTTCTTTGAATAAAAATATGAAACAAACACATTTCTTTCCTTTTAGGAGTGCATAAGTAAATACATATTTTTCTGAATAAGAAAATCTAAATTATTTATTTTTTGATAGCAATACTTCAGTAAATACAATATAAGCAACTTAATGGATGTTTAACTTCCCGAAGGGGTAGGCGCTTCTGTTGAGCTTTTAGTTAAACTCCTAAATGAAATCAACGTTTTATTAATTTTTTCTAAAGACTTCTTGCACCTTAGTGTAAAGAGTGTCTAAGTTTTGTTTGAGCTCTGGAGAATTAGTACAAGACCCTAATCAATAACAAAATCTTGGAAAAAATCAAAGACATTTTTTTACAGATATTCTATTGATTGACCACTGATATTTTGATGACGAAGCGGTTTTCTCTCATGATTAAAATTTTTATTTTGTTTTACGAAAAATATTTGCGAGTAGTAATCGAATTATTTTCCATTAAATATAATGCTTTATTTACCGTTATCACATTTATCTCATTAATGCCAAATGTGCCTTCCTCCCTTTCCCAATTGGTAAACAATTAAAACAATCGGGTTTACCAGGCTTTTCTTGAGTTCAATTCAATCGCCAAAGACAGGCGAATGCATAAGAACCTTCCTACCAAGCTTTCGTACTTTTTTGCGAGTCAATATCGACGTACATATGTAGTATGGCCTTGTCCTAAAAAAACACAATTCCTCTCCTGCAGGCCATAGGTGATTACCTCCTTCATGCTCCTCAATAGTCGTCAATTCTGGCTTGAAGACCGTTAGTGCTGGCTCATTGCCCTTCGAACACGACCGTTGGGTTTTGAAGCTTCTGAAAGTATTTCTCTTTTCAACATCACTCATCAACCCCTCCAAGAATTGGTCAATTTTCTTACGATTCAGCGGCAATTCGCAGCTAAAAATTCGATTCATAAGGTTTTTACTCGTCCATTCAAGTGGTATCCTTACATAGAACTTTTTTGTGCCCAGAAAAAATTTTTTAACTGGTGCGAAACTAATTTTGGTACCATATTTAGCTCTTAAGCAATCGAAAGGGTGATTACAACACCATCGGATTCAACGATTTCCATTATTTCATTGACATTTTTGACAACTGGTCTTCCACACCATGCAGTCGCCAAAATTGTGCATGATTAGAGGTTGCAATATAAGTACTATTCCCTTTTTCAACTGATTGACTGCGCGCTCGTCATTATCGAAAAGAAGTTATAAAATAAAGCGTATTTTTTCTCTGCTGGTGCCCCTCTTTGGCATGCGCTGGAATTATTTAATACAAAATATTATCTTTCTAACGCCATCCAGCCTAATCCAATCGGACTTCTATTGCAAAAATAATGAGTTAAATTGTGGCAAACACCCAAATGTAGGCAACGTTTTTTTTATAGCAATAACATAGATAACTGCTTCTTATCGCTGCGAACTTTCTACCCTCCGAACTAACTGTGTATGAACATTTCTTCTCACTGTAATCCACTCACACCACAATTTGTTATCTAAATTGCTTTTTGAAGAATAAGCAAATTAAATAACCTTCGCGCCTCGCGCAATAAATAACAACGCATTTTAATTTAAGTTACTCAAGCAAAACGAACTAATTATGATATTCGCCTAATTGCCATGCAAGGCTACAAGACGCACTGCAAAGAAAGCCAAAAGAAGAAGAAGAAGAAAAAGAAGAAGAGAAAAACAATGGAAATAATGCTTGGAGCAGGGGAAAACTTTACAAAAACTTAATTATGTATAGTGGATATGCGAGAAGTTATCTTTAGCGGAACTCACGCGTCGCGTACGCTTACTGGCATGTATTAAGTGGAGGTCACTGTACCGACAATAACAATAGCAACAACAACAAAATAGGAGAATAATAACACACTACACAGATAAATACAATAGTTTAGCCTACATAACTGTAAATAATTACGAAGCAGGGCTGAGTGTATAGCACAAAAACACTTTTCAAAATAAGTAAGAGCAGAGTGAGAAAAAGTGTGGTCGGGGTAAAGGCAGCTGCTGGGGTGTACGGCACCTCTATTGAGGAAGTAAGCAATCATAAAGATTATAAACTCTGTGAAAAGTGATTACAGTGAATGTATAAGTGTAGCTGAAAACAAAAGCGGAGCAAAACAAAACAAAAAAAAAAAAAAAAACAAAAAAATACCAACAACAAGCACAAAAAATCTACAAAACCAAATAACAAAGTGAGATAGCTAAGAAGCCGCAAGACACCGAAATGAGAAGATAAATTAAACCGAAAAAATGTGTAATAACTAACATGTCGAAGGCACAGGAAGAGAAAAGGAAGGCGTGAGAGGAGAAAAAAGCGATATTGCATAACGTATATGAATCTGTGCATATGTGTGTGTGCGCGTGTGTGACGTGTGAGCCTCAAAAAAAAAAAGAAGAAGAAAACGCATGAGTGCAAATATTTACTAGGTGAAAGCAGCACCCACAACAATAATAATAAAGACAACAACAACAACAACAACTACAACAACTGCAATAACTCATTGTCAGCGAAATGAGTTTTTGTGCACAAAAACAACAACAAAAACAACAACAAAAACAACAACATCAACAACAACAACAACAACAACAACAATAAAAACAGCGCAACCCGCAACCTTTATAATAATAAAACAAAAACAATGCAAATGATAAGTGCTGACAAGAAGCTTAATATATTGTTGTTATTATTTGATTGTTGCTGTTGTTGCCGCTTCTGTTTGTTGTTTGGTTGGTTTTTGTTCCGCATACTTCATGCATAATAGTTATGATGCGATGCGATGATGCGCCAAGTGGAGGCTTAGTCTTTTTCCCCGTTTCTACAATATTTTTAGTGTTGGCTATATGAAGTTTGTTCATATAACGGTAATTTATAAAAGTAAATATGAAGCCGGATAAGTTAAAATATAATTCAGAACGCGTGGTCTGGCAGAGTAGAAAGCAATGAGAGTTGGTCCATCCCTTCCTTAGAACAGTTTGTCAATTTGTTTTTCGTCTTACACATTCACCTGCTCATTGTTTTTCCTAACTACAATTCACCTGGGGATGAAAGGCTGGATATTCAAGGTGAGCGGTAGACGACAGAGCTTTTTTCCAACTGGAAGTCGTACTTAAAATCTGGATTCTATTAGCTAGCCATTCTAATGAATGTGTCAAGAACTTATCTTTTTGGCTTTCGTGCCGCCCGTCATACCTCATTGGTCGCGTGTTGTCAGTCTTAGCATTTTTGCGAACATCAGTGAACGGTACAACAGTGGAGCCTGCACATTCCTCGTGCATGTCCTCAAATTATAGTCCCTAGTTGATTTGCCGTAGTCCTCATCAATATTTATAGTTCTTTTTATAAGTTCATATTGTATTCACATGTCGGATCTTGCATCCAGCAAAAACTCACCGCGAAGCTGGCTTCAAAACCGACACTCGTAGTCAAACTTCTAAAGAAGTGACGTTTCAATCAGCTCCTTGAGCTGGGCTTGTTGAAACGATTCTAACGAACTCGACACTGACGTAAGAGTGGCATTTGCTTTAATCTCATGTCTTCCCCCAACAACAAAACTACACCTCC